ACTCGGTCTGTTGATAAGCGTGAGATCTATAATTTCTTGAAATTTTATTTAATTAGAATATATAAAATAAATATAATTATACTATATACTGATGAATATGAAACCACGCTGTTTCTGTCCTATGTAGACGGTCGCTAACTAAGTCAAACAAAGCCGCGAAGGTAGGAAAGCGATGACTCGGACGCGAGTGATTCAACTCGCTGAGTTGAAAACTGAATTATATTATCCGCGACTGATTTGAAACACGTTATTTGTGAGAATCAGTCTCCTCAACTCAGAATGAGCTTGTTTTCCTCCATGTAATTAATCGTAAGAAGTTCAACAGCACTAGTGGAGAGAGAGAGTGAATGAGCTTGTATTCCTCCACGTAATTAATCGTAAAAGTTCAACATCACTAGTGTGGAGAGGGGGAGGGTAAGGACAATACTTCAATACTTGCCTACTTATTACTTACGGAGAGGGAAGGTAAGGACAATACTTATTTCTTATCTTTCTCAGTGAGTAAGTAACTTATACTTATCACGTATGTGACACAATGTTAAACTAATAAGTGTTCTTATATTTAAAATAATTAAAAATAAATAATTTGATAGCTATTGGGTTAAACCCAAATGGATCCGAATCAAATTATAATTCTCTCCTCTCTCCTCTCTCCTTCTTTTTCGCTAATATTTTTACAAAGTTAGAGGATATGCAAAATGTGCAAATTGAAGTCCGGTAAACAGTAGTGGAATAACAAGAGATTGAATGATACCATCATCAGAAAATCGGAAACGATACGCAATAAAAAAAATATTATATTTATTTACAGAAGTGTATACCCAACCATCAACATATTCAGCCTTTCCATCCAAGTGGTAATATACATCATCCTCGTTGTCCTTTTTGACGAGCTACCACTCCTCCATTGAATTCGTACTCCTGACTCTATAACAATATAATTGAGTTTTGCGATCAGGCGGACTTTGATTTATATCTTCAACTGAAATGAGAATACAGTTCTTAATGACCGTGTAACCGATCGCAAGGACAATTATGGATAATTTTTCCTCCCAACCCTGAAACTGATGAGGTAGTAAAGAAGAATCCCACTCTTGATCATCATCATGATTAATTGTAGTGTGAGCGCGTAAGAGAGAAGGGGAGAGGAACAGAACGGATGAGATTAGGACTTCCACATGATAAAAGCGTGAGGACGAGGAGAGAGAATTAGAATTTAATTCGGATCCATTTAGATTTAACACATAGAATATCAACTTATTTATTTTTAATTATTTTAAATATAAAAACACTTGTCAGTTTAGCATTGCGCACATACATGGTGAGTATAAGTTTCTTACTCACCGGTAAGTAGGCAAGTATTATGTAACTGGTAATATTCATACAAACATGTTTTTTATTTTATTGTTTTGTTATTTTTTTTAATATACAAAAATGGTTTATAAGATCCTATTTGCAATAATCTTAGATGAAAAAACAACATAAATGTTTTTTTTTTTTTTATTACTGTTTTTATTTTTTTGAATATAGGAAAAAAAAAATAGAATTAGTTAAATTAAAACCGAGTATATATAGTGTAAATTTAATAATTTTTTTAATATTAATAGTAAATATTGATAACACTTCAAGATCAAAAGATTATTCAAAATAATCAATTTTGCCATCTAGGGTCAATGGAGAGATAAATAGTGATATATATCTTTAATAGGATGGAGAAAAAGAAAACAAGAAAACAATTTTATATAACATAATTAAGAATGTTAAGATGGATGAGTGGAGTAACCAAAAGAGATATGATTATTAATGAAATTACGAGAAAAATTTGGTGCGAAATGCATAACGGTGAGAAAATTAGAAAATATAGAATTAAATGATTTGAATATAGATACAGATACACCAATTAAATGAGAAAAAATATAAAAGAGTATCCATCATAAAATGTTAAAAAAAAGAAGAAGAAGAGGATAACCAAAAATAATATGGGAAAGATAATAAAAAATAACTTTAAAAAGTTAAAAATAGTAAGCAAAATGATACTTAATATAAAAAAAGATGTGGAATCGATAATTCATGTGGTCCATTTCATTATATGAAATTAATAAAAAAATGATGACGACCATGATACAAAAATGATTTAGCTGTGTTAAGCATGGTGTGTTGTTCAGAATCTTGTAGGCCCTGTAAATAGTAAACTTCACGTATTCATCAAATTCACTGCTATAAAGTTGAAGGATATAAATGTCGGAAAGATACCTTCTTCTTCTTTTTTTTTTTTTTTTTTTTTTTTTTTTTTTTTTCTTCCGTAAGATACTGATGTTACTTGTTAGTGGACCTGCAATAGTATCTGTATGGCACATGTCAAAAGTTCCATTATAATGCAAAATGATGAAAAACACGTTTTCCAGATTTATCACCAAAGTAACAGATCGAGTTTTTTGTGGGCAGAAAAAATAAATAAATTTGAAGAAAAGAGATCGATCCCTAACAGTACTTTCCTTATGGTTGGAGTAGATTATAAATTATTTTCCTCCGTTCAATTTAAAGTAAATTGTAATCATTTAATATTAAGGTTAAAAAAAAAAAAAAAAAAAAAAAAAAAAAAAAAAAAAACCTTTCTACTTTTAAATTAAAACTTCTCAAGTTATCTCAAATCCATGACCAACCCATTAATTAGATTATAAAATAACAAATTTGAAATTAATATTTAATGTTAAATTGAAAGTTAAAAGTTATTTTTTAAAAAATAATAATTTTACCCTTCCATTATCTATTTCAAACCATCTACATCTTCTTTTGATTTCACACACAGAACCCTGCTTATATACATATTTGTGTGTATATATGTGGTTATATTTTGGACATGATTGTCTTGTATTTAATATTAGGGTTTATGGTAATATAAACACATATATACACACAAATATATGAAAATGTTTATAAGCTATTCATTAATTTCATTAGAAGTGTTATGTAGGTAGGAAAAAAATAAAATAAAATCTTCTGAGTGTGGCTGACCAAGTGTCAAGTTTTCATATCAATACACTCGTAAAGAAGATCACAATCAATATTCTCTTATATGGAAATTGAAAACAAAACCCTAGAAATAGATTTAAAAGAAAACAAGGTCCAAAATTAACATTCTCTTATCTGAAATTTAGAAACAAAACTCTAGGAATAAATTAGAAAGATACGCAAAATATTTTTAAAGAACTTCCTATAGAAGGTATAAGCTCTTCTCACAGGGAGGTTGAGTGTTAGAGCCAGGGCGGCCTAATATAAATTTTTTATATTTATTAGAGTTTACCAATATTAGGAAATAATTATAATATAAGTTAATATAAGAAAATTTTAAAATTTTGGAATCTTCCTAATGGCTGCCCTGGTTAGAGCTTTGGTGGAGGCATAATATAAATAATAGGTGTATAATTTTGTTTAAACTTTTGAAAAAGTAAAAATTAAATTAAAAACTTAAATTAAAAAGCGATGAAATAAAATAAACAGAAATGATTTTGCATTCTACTCCGTCTCTCTCTCTCTCTCTCTCTCTCTCTCTATACGTATGGATATTTATTTGCATATGTAATATAATATATGTTATGAAGCATATTTGATGTTTTTTTGGACCTTCGGAGCTAAAGATCCTCGTGCCTAACCTCTTTGAGCAAAAGGGCAGAAAAAATACTCCTCCTAACAAACCCTCCACAAACAAACCCTCCACATTCAAATTTCCGATCTTCGGTTTATTTTTTTATTTGTATTTTCTGATTTGAAATGTTGTAATTACGTGTTTAGCCATGTAGGTCGGTTTTAAAATCCGATGATTTGTGTCCGCAATTCTATCATTTTCATTTTCCTAATACCGCGGACGAGCCTATGATCATGCACTTACGTGCGAGGCTAGTTGTGGGAATTGGTCAACGATCCTTGAGTCAATTCTCTCGGATTCAAATAACCATAATTAATTACAGTTTTATTTTGGAGAGAAGACTTTTTAAGTTGGATATATAAGTTATTACAACTTCCATAACTAAAAGAATAGCTATATGGAATATGAGTAATTTTATTTATTTATTTTCAAAATTTATTTATGTTAGCAAATAAGTGATCACACACTCACTTATTTGGAATATTATTTAGACTGTGCTATTTTAAAATTACAATAATTATTTTCAATATTGAATACCAAGGTCAATTTTGTCATTTATGAGAGCAACTTGATAACCTTTTTTTTTTTTACTTCGGGGGATTTGTTAATTCAATTGAAAATTTTATGCACAATTTTAAAAGTATAAGAAGGTTTTGTAACTTTAACCCAACTATTAATAATCAGTTAAATCTATGTAAGTTTTAAACATCATTTTTATTATTTACATTAATTACACTTTCTTCTAATAAAAATGTTTGCAAGTCATAAATATCAACAAATGACCATTTATTAGTGATGAGAGTGACATCCAATTAGCCTTGACTGACCAAGCTAGCTAACAACTTTTTAATATTTTTTTCAAATTTTTTTTTTTTTAATTTTGCAACAGGCATTATCAACAATTAATGTGAAAAGAAATTTGAACCTCAACTATACTTTGTAGGATTATCACAAAGTCAATGCATTAATGGTATGTGATAATAACAATAACAAAAACTGAGGCTAAGAATCCTTGGATATATAAACCGTAACTTTCTGCAATCCACTTGTACTGGCCCAATATTTGGACGAGTGATTTCTACAGAGCTTTCATGCACCTTGTTTTTATCTTTCCACTTGTAAGGCTGCATCATAATCATAATTATTTAATTACTATATTTTTTTTTTTTTTTTTTTTTTGGGAAAGGTTAGCTATTTGGACATTGCTTGTGAAGAATGTGTCAATTGATCGTTATTATAGAACAAATCAAAGTGACAAAGTATATCTCTGCAAAAAAATGTCTCTCTCCCCTCTTTAAACTTCACCAAATCAATTACCTACGCACTTTTCTTCAATGTTGCATTTATAAGTATATGTTAAACATGAAGAGTTTTTATAACAAGTCCAATACATGAAAATGGTATTCCTATTTTCATTGTTACAAAATAGATCTGTAATCTTAGGATTAGAATGTTGCTTGTAATTGTAATATAATAAGAACAAAAAACGAAGAAGAAGAAGAAGAAGAAAAAAAAAAAAAAAAAAAGAATAGTACATGAAAAGCGTTGCTTAAGTACTTTATGTAGCATAGCAAAAGCTCGTGTGGGAGACATATGGTTGAAGAAGGATATATATATATATATATATATATATATATATATATATATATATATAGACCTAAGCTTTGTGAGGAAAGAGGCGAATTGGTAGGCCCTTGGCTGGGATGGGCATGGGATCAACCACAATTTTCTCATCTGGAATCATTTTCTCCCACCTGAACCTCTTCACCAGGTGATGCATGAAGACAAGTATTTCAACTCGGGCATATTCTTTTCCGGGGCACATTCTAGGTCCTCCACCAAATGGTACAAATGTGTAAGGAGCTGGACCACTTCCCTCGAATCTTGAAGGATCGAATTTTAGAGGCTCCGGGAAAACTTCAGGATTTCTATGTGTTGAGTTTGCACTCCAATATATCTGTAGCAACAAAAAACGAGGTGGATATTGAGTAAATTTACATTTTTAGATATGCATGTGTGTATTTTTTAAAAATTAAATTAGCATATAGAAGCCCATCCAAATATTACGTATATCTGATTTGGAAAAGTAAAAGTCTCGTGCACTAAGCTACCATTATATATAGTTGAGTAATTGCTGATTAAATTTGGGTTAATTACCTTCCAGCCCTTTGGAATAGAGAAACCATTGAACTTGAAATCATTGAGGGCTTCTCTGAATGCTCCTTGAAGAGGAGGTGCAAGCCTAAGCACTTCACATGCCACGTTCCAAGAGTACTTCATCTTTTGAATATCATCCCAGTTCAACAAATCACCTGGAGCCTTTGACTTTGCAATCTCCATTTGCTCTGTTGTTTACAAGAAGGCAAAGTAATTAATTAATTAATTACCACCTGCTAGGGACTCTCCCCATCAATTATTCTTAATAATAATGTTTTCTTATATGAAAAGAATGAAAATTAAATACATCAAACTCTGAAAAGTTGACTTAGAAAACGTGCAGATGGATCCGCAACCAGATTTTATATTGGAATTTAAAATAGACTATAAGAGTTGCTTCAGCAATCCAACTTTGACTCCATAATGGAGCCAAGTCAACAAATGGCCGCCGGCCTAATTCATTTTAGATACTGTATAATTCCTTTGATGCAACGGTAATTAAAATAAGTCATGATTTCGGATTTTAGCTACAACAGTAATTTTGTTTACAATTATTACAAAAAGTTAGGAAGTTTGGCAATTCTGCTTTGCTTTGCTTTGCTTTGCTTTGTTTTCAACACAAATGTTTTATTTCACTTCTAATAGTAACTTCCTTAATTATTTTCTTAAATTGCGTATTGTATAAAACTGTAACTGTAATATCATGCAAAATATATAACATACACTCTACATAAGCTAGAAATATATGCATATATTATGTGTTAGAAATGAGGTTTGCCTACTATATTTGATATATATAGATTTATATATGCATATAATTTAAGTAAGAGATGAAAAGATGATGTACCCTTGTAGACGCCTTCATAGACCTCGGGCAGTTCAGCAAGATACTTGACGACAAAAGTGCAGGCGGAGCTAGCAGTGTCATGTCCGCCAACCAACAACCCCAAAATCTTATCAGCCACGTCCAACTCGGCCATGAATTTGCCATTCTCGTCACTGGTGAGAAGCATGTGTGACAATATGTCCTGTGTGGGCGTCGCCTTCCCTTCGGCCAAGTCGATCTTCCTCTGCTTAATAATGGCCACAAGTTCCTTCCTGATGAAGTTGGATGCCTTGATTGCGCGGTGAAAAGGTGTTCCGGGCAAGTCAATAGGGATGGAAATGAGCCCGGAGGCCAGTAGGTTAAAAGGATCAGCAAACTTAGCGACGTGGTTAGGGTCTTCTACACTCACGAACACTCGGCAAGCCAGCCAAAAGGTGAAGTTCTTGGCGAGAGGGAAGACCACAACCTCTTCCTTGTTCTCCCAACCCGCGGCGAAGTGACGCTGGGCTATGGTGTCCATGATGCCCACATAGCGTTGCAGCGCCTCGGGTTTGAAGAAGTTAGGGAGCATTTTCCTCATTTTAATGGCCTCCTCTTTGGAGGAGGTTTGGTTGGAGGAGGGGAACACTTTATCAACTGAGGACGGCCACCACGCCTGTACCAGTTTGTTCTCGTTGGAGAACAAGAACTTGTTGCCGGCAGCGCCACAGAAGACGGCGGCTTTCTCGCCGAGGAGGGAGGTGCGGAAGACTTGGGAGGAGTACTTGGTCATGCGGTCGAAGATGAACTTCTCAGGGTGGCCCTTCCATCCGGTGGAGAGGAACTCCAGGCTCTCGCCGATCACCGGCCATCCGGTCTTTCCCGGAGGGAGGTTGGCGCCTTTGTTCTTGTAGAAGAGGAAGTGGAGTGAGAGAAGGACGAGGAGGACGAAAGAACAAAGGAGAGAGACGAAGAACAACTCCATGTCTCTTGTTGTGGCTTGGTTGGTTGATTACTTGGGATATGAATGAAGGTAACCAGAGATTTAGGGTATTTATAGAGTTTATTATGCGTGTGGATACACAGAGAAGGTGGTGGGAACTGGGGAGTGGTAAATTGGTAATATCACGGTCAAGGTCAAATTATGCTGGCACTCAAACTTATTAATACAACTCTAATTTCGGAATATATATAAAGAGAAATTATTTTTTGAGCCGATCCGCGTAGCCGACCTTATTATGGTGGGACCGAACGTCAATTTATTCTAGCTCTTAAACTTATCGATAAATCTCAAATTTAGGGGAAGAATCTTTGAGATTGTCGGCTTAGCCGACCCTATATGCCTTTCACTCGCTTTCCCATGCGGCGATTACGAAAGCACTTCATGCTCGTGAGTACAATAAAGTTTCTTTGATTTTATTTAATTACTCCGTATAATATATTAAAATATACTAGTAATTATACATATCATATTAAAATATAACCACGCTGTACTATGTGGACTGCATCTAACTCAGTCAAACAAAGCCGCAAATTGAGAAAAGGGTTGACTCGGTCGTGGGTGATTCAATTCCCTGAGTTGAAAACAGAAGTGAGTTGCTCCGCGTTGGTAATTTATTGTTTAATGAAAATGAATAGGATAAATATGTACTTACCGAAAAAGAAAAGAAAAGAAAAAAGAATAGGAAAAATAGTTGGCTTAATTGGTAGAGAATTTATAATTAGTACCCCATGAAATTAAACGTGAGATATAAAATAGGCCTTAATTCGTTTAAAATTTAGGCCGGGGTTATTTATTAGATAAATGAGTAAAGTTTAAGTTTGATTTTTAAGCTCGTTCAGTAAATAAGTCGATTCGAATATTATTGAACTCGATTTGTGTAGTCTCATTAACAAAAGCTCGTATAAGTTCGTATTATTTATAAACATAGCATAGGTTTGTGTAAGTTTATATAAAAGTTCATGAACAAGTTAAAACGATTTTGAACACGAACTCAAATCAAGTCTGAACGATTTTTGTTATTAAACAAGCCAAACCTGAGTCAAGTCGAGCCTACTCGAGCTGAGCCAAGCTGAATTTGAGTATGAGTTTTTCATAATGACGAGTCGAAACCCAGCTCATCTTTTAGAACTCTTTATAATTCCAAACCGAACCCAAATTCAGTTTTTCATGCTTGTTATGATCCCGAGCCGAGTCCGCAAATGAGCTAAGCTTGAACAAATTTAACCATAACTCAACTCAGTTCATTTGGAATCATAATGCAATTCTATAGATTTATGGAGAATGTGTTGTCGTGTGCTTAAAACATGTTCATTGGATAGTTTAAATTGTAAAAGGGGGCTTAAATGAAAATGAATAAGCGGAAAGAGGAAAAGATTGCAAATAAGACGATGTTTCAGGATTTACATGTGATGGATTCGATTCTAATTGGATTAATTAGTTAATTTATTTGAAAGTGAATCAGTGATATAAAAATTAAAAATATATATAATAAATTGAATGTTAAAGATTGAAGGCGCGTCAATTAATATTATTCCATTTCAATTTGGGTTCATATTCACTTTATTTGCCTCTCAATAATCTTGACCTTCTACAAGTCTATTTTTTCTTCCATCCATAAAAGAGATTTTCATTAGAATTTGATGGAAATCACTTGGAGATAGATCGAGAGAGGGGGAGGATACAATAAAAAATATATATAATTAACTATAATATTATTTAAGGATTGAAATAATGCTAATTAATTATAATTTTATCTAGGAGATGAGACTTAAGTATCAGGTTTATATGAGTGAGAAGCCAACCAGATCTGAATAGATTATTAATGTCCACGACTATCTTTATAGTTTTGATTATAGGATGCACTTTGTGCTTGAATTGTTGAGTGGAGAAAATAGAGAGTGGTGTGCTACCCACTTTCATGACTTAAGTGCCATACTGAGTATGAGTAATTAGTGCTGTGTGAGTGTGTGTTTTTTAAGCAAATAACCTAGTCAACCCACTTCTTCCAATGTCCACACTCTTATGTATCACCATGGGCTATTACATTCCTGGGTGCACACCATTCAAATTTGGCCAGTTTTGAAGAATTTTAGAACCAACCTATCCTAATGGCTCGAGTTTGATTCTATGGTTATGAGCTTTATTCAATAACTAGCTCATGCCCTATATATATATATATATATAATTCAATTATATATTAGTAGCTGAAATAATAATCTTATATGTATATTAATTATATATAAATGATATATTTGACTCTCTATGACCCTAAACCAGCACCGAATTGTTTATAACAAACTAAACGGTTTGAATTTGATTCGGTTCAACTTATTTTTTGTGTACTCCTATTTTGCAACGAATAGTGTTATACAAAACAGAGAGGTTACAAAAATTATTAATTATACAAACACAAATATTAATAATTACACCTATGTAGGTTTCAAGTTTCATTTTATTAATTTCTATTGATCACCTTTTATTCAGTTTAGTTACTATGCTTAATTATTCTTTTATAAACTTTTTTTTTTTTTTTTTAATATGGAGTTAATTCATAATCCTATAAGAGAGAAATGTTAGACATGCCGTTAGGAATATCATATTACCATAGCCATTATCACAAAGTCAATGCATTAATGGTATGAAATAATAACAATAAAAAAGTGCGACTTCTACAAGTTCGGTGGTCGAATTAATTAATTTGATTTACTTTTTTCTTTTCTTTTCTTTTCCTTTTTTATAGCAAGAAACACATCCACTCGTTTTTGAAAATGGAGAGATTATTTCATTTAGTCTCTGCTTTTAAACACTTAAAACATAAAATATATAATAATTCAGTTTTCTTTATTTTATTTGTATTTTTTTATAAATATTTGTTTACGCTTGGTAATACATTTTTAGTAGTTGAGCTTTCATGCACGTGGTTTTGAAAAATTTATTTTAAAATTGAATTCATTTTAAATTTTAAATTAGTCCAACCAAACATTAAAATAGTTATTTTCATTCTATTCATATTTCATACTTGAAATCAAACATAAAATGAAAATGAACATTAAATATCATTTTCATCCTATTCTCACTTTACATTTCATTCCAGTTATACATATCAAACACAAGATAATAAAAATATTAACACATATTGTCAGCAATATCATTTGATTTATTAGTAGTAAGATGTTCTCCAACAGTGATACCCTCTTGGTGCCGCCGACTGATCACGCTACCAACTTTTTTTTCTTGTAACATAAATTGTCAAACAATATAAAAAGAAATTGCCCCCGGGGGCTTGGCAGTGATGGCAGGGGTTCGGAGCAAGCATCCAATCGGCCAGTGTTCGACTCCTATCTAGCCTCCACTTTCTCCGACTTATCCGGTATATCTTTGGAGCGAGCATCTGCACCCCATAAAAGGAATTTGAACCTCAAACTCTAAGTCAATGCATTAATGGTATGTACTTATAACAAGAATAAAACGTGGGACTTCTATTAGTTAGGTGCTCGTATGAATTTATTTGATTTACTTCTTTTTTTTTTTCATAAATATTTTACGAACTCCTGGTAACATATTCCTAGTTGTTGAGCTTTCATGTACATCGTAATTATAATTATTACTGTAACTAGTTATTTGGATTGGACAATATTGATTGTCAAGAACAAATCAAAACATCTCTCTCCAAAGAAAGTCCCTTTAATTCCCTCCTCAAACCAAATCAAAGTAGACATTTTAGTCACAGTTGCATTGATGAGTAAATTAATGAGTTAACAAGAAGGCAGATTTTTTTTTCAATGTCCCCATGCGATGATGGTATTCCAATATTCATGTGTTAGAAAAGGAGAATCTTACCATTACAATATTGCTTAGTATATAAGAACAACTAAAAAGAATAGTACACGAAAAGCATTGCTTAAGTACTTTATGCATATAGCTAAAGCTCTTGTGAGAGATAGCTGAAGAAGGCTACATATATATATATAGATTTAAGCTTTGTGAGGATAGAGGCGAATTGGGAGTCCCTTGGCTGGGATGGGCATTGGATCAACCACAATCTTCTCATCTGGAATCATTTTCTCCCACCTGAACCTCTTCACTAGGTGGTGCATGAACACAAGTATTTCAACTCGGGCGTATTCTTTTCCGGGGCACATCCTAGGTCCTCCACCAAATGGTACAAATGTGTAAGGAGCTGGTCCACTTCCCTCAAATCTTGAAGGATCAAATTTTAGAGGCTCCGGGAAGACTTCAGGATTTCTATGTGTTGAGTTTGCGCTCCAGTATATCTGTATCAACAAAAAAGGGTTGGATATTGAGTGAATTACGTTTTTAACAGAATTTTCTTTTCAAAAAAGAAATTAAAATAGCATATATGAGCCTCTTCACATGCAAAGGTAAGACTCTATATATTCATACACTAAAGGAATAGGAGTCTCGTGTACAAGATTGCCAATATATATAATATACAAACACACAAAGTTTTGTAATTGATGAGTAAATTTGGGTTAATTACCTTCCAGCCCTTTGGAATAGAGAAACCATTGAACTTGAAATCATTGAGGGCTTCTCTGAATGCTCCTTGAAGAGGAGGCGCAAGTCTAAGCACTTCACATGCGACGTTCCAGGAGTACCTCATCTTTTGAATATCATCCCAGTTCAACAACTCACCTGGAGCTTTTGACTTTGCAATCTCCATTTGCTCTGTTTACAAAAAGGCAAAAGTAATTAATTAAAATGTCAATCATGGGTTTGGTTTACAATAACCTGTGTGAATATATACACAAGGGTGGTTGAGTCATGAAAATTGAAAATTTTTGATTGGTCAAAACATTGACTTGATATCAGCATAATCGAATAATATCATTAAATAAATTTTTTTTTTTTAATTTTGAAAAAAATGAAAATATGTACGTCAGAAACTTCAAAGTTGACTTCAAAATTTGTTCAGATCCACTACCAAATTTTAAGTTATCTATTTCAATCAACTAGGTGGTGCGAAAAGAAAAAAGTTCACTTACAAAGCATGCATATTATATATCACTGTAGTAACA